AATTAGTTATGTTGGTAACAGAAATAGATTAATTTAGTGACATAAATTTTAAAACTAAAAATTAACACTTTTTTACTCTATGAGTAAGAAAGCAAAATAAAGTTCTTAATTTTCAAGTTTGTATTGGTGTTCACTTTTACAATTTTTAGACAATTTTTTTGCAAAAGCATTAACACGAATGTATTACCTATTGTGGATTTTCTAGTTCATTAAATGTTAAAAGTAAAAGTATACAGTATGTCCCCGGATTGAGTTAACAAAAGGAAAATTTTTTTTTTTTTACCCCAAAACTGCAAAGAAAAACATTTTTGCTTCACCTGAAACGAGCAAATCTATAATTAAAACTTCATTATTCTGACTCAGTGAAAAGAAAAATTCATTTTTCTCTTGATTTTGGACTTGTAATTATTTTTCCCGGCGTATTAAATCCCATCACATTGGCGGTTTTATTTTTTTGACAACGATGTCACTTTAACAAATGAGTTTACACAAGATAAATAAGAAAAATGTTTGTCAAAAACATAATTTTAATAAATGACAACAGTTTAAGATAAAAAAACAAAGTCATTTTTAACAAGAACCATCATTATTCAATTAATTAATTGTCAAAGTGACATCGTTGTCAAAAAAATAAAACCGCTAATGTGATAAGATTTAAAAAGCAGAGAAAAAGTCCAAAATTAAAAGGAAAATAAACTTTTTTTCCTACTGAATCAGGATAATACAATTTTAGGTAAGCTAAAAATGTTATTCCTTTGAAGTTTTGACGCAAAATTAAAGATTTTTTTTCCTGTTGTAAACTCAATCCGGGACCATATATTTATTTATTATTTTTATTTCAAATTCATCCAAAATATTAATAAACGATTTAAGTTCATAGAAAAATGTTCATAAATCAATTTAATCCTTTCTAGATTAGATAAATCTCTATTAAAAACCACTTCTGACCAATTTGCGCTTTCCACATCGTAAACTTGAAGAATTTTAAGATATTGAAGAGCTTCTCTTAGATTTACACATTTTTTGATCGACACTTAAACCTTTATCATACTTTAAATAGAAAGTCCAAGAGGCACACTTTAGGTGTTTTTGCAAAACAAAATTTCTTATTCATATGTTTTTTCTACATTTGGTTGCATGTCGTTTTAAACCTGGGTCGAAGGATGTCAAGAAAGAACGAAAGAACAACAGTCAGCACTTCTGCAATCTCAACAATAGGAGAAACAACAGAATTTGGCAATTATGATCAAAACTGCAAAATTAGCATAACTGTAAAAAAATTGTATCATTTACAATTTTTTCCTCCGCACTGCCATTTAGAAAAAAAATCTTCATTGAAGATTGTCCATTTTTAAAGAATAATTTAGTCAGTATCCATTCTATAAGTTGGACAAAATTTAGATCCTAAACAGAATTTAGAAATTGAACCTTTGGCGAATTAAGAAAACAATAAAAATCTATTATTTTTTGGGTATAATTTTGGTAGAAAACAAGTGATGACTTGCTTTTGTGCAGTCAAGTGTAAAATCAAATGAAAAAGCTTAACATTATTATTAAGTCATTTCTCAAATCACTTTTTGCTTTTGTACTACACTATAATTATTAATAACCAGAATATACCGATTTGCAGTAATCCTAAAGTGACAGTTTGAAAAACAACCATAAATTGGTAATATTTTATACGTGCTAATCTGGAAAAGCAACAAGCGTGACAATGCAATAACTGAAGATAATTGCATTAAATTAAATTTGACAATGAATGATTCACAGATCATTAACAAAATTATTATACCGATACAATTGACATATTATTATCGATATCTCCTCGTTTTAATTCAATCCGACACGAAAATCCACTCACAAAATATATAAATCGGCACATCTGGCTTATAAATGACAAGGCGATTGACAGTGGTCGATTTAGTCCGGTAAATGCTCCGGTTTTTCCACCACTAATAATTTATTCTCATTGTGACTACCGCGCGTGTACTGCACTCATCGGCTTCACATTTACAAGAAAGAAAATAAATAGATAAATAAAATCGTCCATTGTATGTAAATAATGCTCTTTTGTTGTAACAAATTATGTAACATGGCCATTAGGCTTGGTACACTCGACTCCCAACTAGATGAACAACATCGATAGCGTGTCCCTCCAGTGTGGGCGTATTTAATTCGTCTTGTTGCGACTTTAGGAGCCTCCCTTAAATATTTAAAAGCCCTCTTTAATATGCAAACCAAGTCCGAAGCCCTACTCTATCTCTATCCACCCATCAATTTTCAATTAGGCCAGCCTTTTGTGTACCACTAAATATTTTTCACAAATTCCGGAAGCTTTTTTACGACAATCCGACCTAAACGCCGGCTCCGGGTTCCGGATTTACGCCAACCGTCGTAAATATTATACGCACAGAGGTAATGAACGACGCTCGTTATGCGTCTTTACGGCTCCGGGACTTATTCAATAAATGACCGCAGGGCAGTCGTAAACCCCTTAATAAACTCCGGACGTTAGTGTTATCTTGAAAAAACCCAATGTACCTACTACATACGTGTCGTGACCGAAAAGAAAAGGCAATTAGCCGTCCATTGACGTATGAATGGAGTCGTAAAATCCACGAGAATCTGAAATAAATTAACGCGGCGACGAGGGAGGAAAAACGCGATTTCTCGACTCGTTCTTGAGCATTTCTCGTTTTGCATAATGGGGATTGAGCGTGTTCCATTCGCGAACACGCCAGAAAACATTCACTTAAATGTATAATTCAGGCGTATTAATGCAAATCGGGAGCCCCCTTCAACGACTATTTTGCATATCGATGCGGCAGGGAGGATTTTAGAGACCGAAAAAAATTTAATCACGACCCTACGAAAAATGAAAACAAAACATTTAAGGATATTACGTCATGTAATTTCAGTTGAAAAGTTTCAGTGTTTACCACCAGCAAATCCCTCTCTGCATATATTTGTTTCAAAAAATATATGAATACAGGATGCGTGTTAAAAATAAATTTCTTCCGCTCTTGCCATCCGTTCTAGGGCGGTGTTTATTTAAAGTGCCACTTGGCGTTGAAAAAACGATCACACAGAAAGACAAATAAACAAATTAGTGTTACAAAACGTGGGAGAGAGGTACACAATCTGAACAATGTACGGAATCTATTTATGCCAAGTGTTTGCGTAACAGATAATAATTTATCAGATGCTAATAACGACAAATATCCGTTTATCACATGTTAATAAAACGTTGGCATTTATCTACACGTATAATTAACACTTTCACAAATATTTATGATAATTAATACGCACCGAACGTTTAGCGTGGTCGTGAGAATTTTCAGAAAAATAGAAAAAAAACTCAATGTGCCAGATAAGAAAAATTTATTTCGACATTCTAACGTCGACCGGTTTTTTTTTCAAATTCAATAGAAATACCAACGATTTGTTGGGAGAAAAATGCAAGCTATTAAGTAACAGTTTGAATCATCACAAAGCAGCTTTCCAATATGTTACTTAACCGCAAACACATGTTTCAGGGAATAAAAGCGGTCAGACAGCCAATCAAAGCGAACATTAAAATAATAACAACAAATTGTAATCACTCGTTATTATAACCGTTTATTTAATAATTTCATACAGTTTATTACAAAATACAGAGCAAATATTCTAATTAATTTGAAGACCAAACAAATTCCGCATCCATTTTTTTTTTGCAATGAATGTTGACCGTAAAAGTTTTTATGCACAAAAAAAGGATAATTTTGTGCACAAAAAAATTATCAGTAAGTTTAGTGACCACCACGGTCACCAGATTTAAATCCGTGTTTTTTTTCTTATAAAAGACATATAGGCGGAGACAGGTTTTTAGCCTCAACTTATTTTTAGTTTTAAAATTGGAAATAGAAAAGTTCTTTCTCTTGACGAGTTCTATTAGTGGTTGGAATATTTGCTAGTACTCCGCGAACACCCTGTATTTGGGTAAAAGCCAGCGAGTCGAATAAATAGGAACTGAAAATCGTTCAAACAAACCGCACATTTTAAAGAAACAAATTAAATATTCTGATGACGAGATAGAAAAAATTTGTTTCCCTTATAAGTCCACGCTCAAATAACTTGCAAAAATAACTTCGAACCATAAACAGGCGATAAAACCGATGTAATGACAAGTTTTAATCTTTATTAGACTGCTTCTCCAAGACACACATAAAAAGGAATAAAAATGGAGAATGCCATTGGCGACGTTTTTACGATTTTTCCGACACTGATTTGCGGAAACGATTATTACAAATTTGTTTAAAACAGAAATAAATACGTTTCAGATATTCCGGTCAGTCTTTTGCACAAAGGACATTTATGTCAGTCGTATAAAAAATCCGTTAGTGGGCCGCTTTCCACCCTCGGGACCCCTTCAAACCCCCGCTTTCGTTTCGTTTTTATGGTCTCTGTCGTCCTGAAAATTCAAGACGCGCCCTCCGATCAGTGTTGTTCGTGTAGTCGTTTAGGGTCGTCCTCGAAACGACTCTCCCTCACATCCTCATTTCACATCCTTCTCGCGTCGTAAAAGTAAATTTCCAGCCACGTTTTCGTACCAATAAAATTTATTGGAATTACGTGGATATCGACTGAGCTGAACGTTTTAATGCCTTTCTTTTTTCCCTTCGTCTCTTCATCCTCTCTTCTCAGCAAAATCCACCACCACACACATTGTAACGAATTCGATTAGATGACCGAAAATACCACCAAAGCGGAATTCCTAACTCGCACTTACCCTCCAACAATAACGAGCAAACTTATCGACGACGTGTCCAACAAAGAGAAAAAAAATTATAAATATTTCAGGCAGACTAGCGTACGCCGACAACAAATCAATAGATTTATTTATATGCCCGAGAGAGTTTTCCTAGTCGGCGTCGACGAAACATACTACCACTTTGTCATTTCTTTCTTTTTTTTTGTGTGTAAAACAAATTGAACATTACTCGAGAGGAAAAAAGACTCACCTTATCGTCTTCGCCTTCGCTATCACACTGCAAAAACAGAAAAAGAAATCCATTAGTATAACAACCGGGCAAAAGGTTTACAGAAACGCAACAAAAAGTCAATCCGTTTTTCTCCACTACCACTTAACAAATACTGATAACAAAATACTTACGATATATCCTTTTCCTGAACTGCATCGACTGCTGGCCTGTGGAAAAAAGGAAAAAAAATGTTATAATCGGATTGGGGATGTTTTAGGGTTACGTACGTCACTGAGACGGTCCCTTGAACTGTCCGCATCACGTGGCGCCACTGACGACCCCGTCAGGCGTTCAGATGCCCGTCCACTGTCGTCGCTCGTGGCCGGGTCTTGAGTCAAAGACAAACCCTGAAAAAAATTTCAAAAATCGATTCAGGAAGTTGTAAAAAATAATGTAACTGAAAAGTGGCAGTGTGAAGATAATTAAGGCTAATTACTCAATTACCGTACTGAACAAACTCATACACAGGGAGATGCATTATACAAAGAGTAAATTACACAGGCCTCAGACACGCCCTCTTATTATTTTAATTTCCCTAATAACTCTAATGGTATCTGTATTATTTAATGTTGACATGACACGAGAAAATAATAATATATCGTGAACGTGGTATACACAAGTCAATTAATTCCGTCATTAAACGGCGATTTCCTTTTTTAGAAGCCATTACAAAGAGGATGTTGATGATAAAAACGACGAAGATCGAGCAGATGTGGAAAAAAACTACAGAATTTTGTAAAATCGGTAAAAATGTCATATCAGTTTTTCAGTGAACGACAGTTCGCATCAATTACTTTGAATTTATTGCAACTGCTAAAAGAGACTTGAAATGAAACTCGTAATCGCCAATTTGCAACATTGCAATTATACAGGCTGTCCCAGCAAATCCATTATTGACCTTTAATTTTTTTAATTTCAAAAAATTTATATGGGAAATTGATAAATATAAACTAGGGCATCGCTTGAAATTATTTTCGTGTCCCAAAAATAAATTACAATACACACTTAATTTTTTTGTAATGAAACACCACAAGTTTCTTGGCATTTTTGGATGTAGCTTTTTATTACAATGAACTTCTATTGGTCGATTATGCTCAGTTTTTAAAATAAGAAAAAGAACAAACTTTAAGAGTATAAGACTAAAAAATTTTAGTGTGTTGCACTTGTACTAATAAGAAACGAAGAAGTTTGTTAAAAGTTAAATAAGTTAAAAAATTTAAATGGAACACCCTATTTTTTTCTGCATTCAAAAGATTATTAAATTATCTTTCCAAAATATCTACTTTTAAGTTGCTACACTTAATAACTAAAAAGATATTCAATTATAAACATTAATAAAAATTCATCATTACTTCAAAAACCAAAAAACCAAAAAAGAAACAATATTTCTTAATAATCACATTTATGTTACACTGAATTACATTATTCTTTATTTTTACAAAATACAATTCAAATTTCAATATTTATTTTGGCTTTTACAATCTCTGGACGAATCCCAAATAAGTGGTCCGTGGTGGAATTGCTATGATTGCCTTGGTATCAACAATACTCATTTCAATGATAGGCATTGTTGCTATAATTAACATTTAAAGTTAAATGTCTTTTATTTGTCAATTCTAGGCATTAAAGTTTTTTTTTAGATAGACAATTTATCAATCTATTTATTACATGCAAAAATAAAAAAACAAGGTGTTTTTTTTAATTATTTAACTTTTAACAAAGTTCAACATTTTTTTAATTTTTGGACTGCACAAAATAGTCACATTTTGTGTACCAAATTTTTAAAAAGAGTATGCTTTCGTCAAGAAAACCAAGAAGTCCAAAAATGTCAAAAAACATATAGTGTTTTATTAAAAAAAAAACATACAAGTTTATATTGTAACTTATTTTTAGGACACGCTGTATAATTGAAAATAATTTCAGGTGATGCACTAGATTAGAATTTATCAATAATTGTCTATAGGTATAAGCTGTTTAAAAAAAATCTGTCTATTTACGGTTACTAATGATCTTGTAAATCGACTCTCCCAACGATAATTATAGTAACTCTAAATTTACGATTTTGAGAAAAATTGCATTGAGTCTTTGATTGTTAATAAAATATCAAGGAACTGTTTAATATTGTTAAAAATTGCTGAGGAGCTAAGTTTTGGTAATAATATTGTTTATTCAAAGATATTTTTACTCATTGCTTTTTGTATTTTAGGCCCTACATAAGCCATCCTAACTCAAAACCAATTTTTATGAGTTACTAAATATAATTTTCGTCGATAAGTTTTTTTTCATATTTACTTAGGAAAGGTACCAAAATTTTGATAATAAAAGCCACAAAATAGGATACAGCTTCCTTGTTACCTCTTCTGATAACATGGAAAATTATCATTCCAACAAAAATAAATAGAGTCGAAGTGCAAAATTTAAACTCCTATAATTTCGAAGTTTTTATAGACATAATGTTTTAACATTTTTTTCCATTTTCACCTTACATTTTTTCACTGAAGCGCGAGTTTTAAAACACCTGTATAATTTTTTTTAATTTTTTTTTCGCTGAAACAGCCTGTATATCGCAAATACAAAACAATGTGTTTTTCGATCGCCTGAAACCACCAATTGTCAGTCGACACCAATAACATTTTCAACGAAAACAGATGACAAGACAAATTACCACCTTCCCGACGACATAATAAAAAATGGGCACGTTCTCAACCTGTACTTTCCTGCGATAACCCAAAAAGTACTTATTACGAATACCCAACATACTGTCGATGTTGTCCCCATAAAAAAAAGAAGTTTGTCTCGGCAATTTGAGCCGATTATTTCGTCATTAACAACGAAAAGACTTGAATTACTTACGCAATCTTGGCAGTAATAACAGACGAAGGGTCATTACGGCGATCAAATGGCGTGCTAATGAAGTCTTTGATTGTAAAAAAAAACACGAGAAAAAACAGCGAGCGAGAAAATGAAATAATTAAAGTGATTGATGCGTTCTAAAAATAAATTACAAATTTGTCGACGAATTGGATAATTATTCTCGCATTGATCGACGATTTAAAGCGTGTAATGGGCAACGAAAAAAAAAAAACCCCCAATAATTAAAACTGTATTATTCGCTCGTTGTTAATTAGCGCGCACACGACTTCTCCGAGAATATTTTATTCACACAATTTCAACGTTCTGAACATTTTTATTAGCCGTCGTAGTTTATTCATGACGTTATCCCTCCGTCTCTTTATGTCGTAGGTCGTCGGTGAGATTTGTAACAGATTGTGAGGCACTGACATCTGTCGGAAACTCGGAACGACGTTAAGTAAGTGAACGAAGAGTGGTGGATTTTCTTTCGCAGTCGGTATGTTTCCAAAAGGTTTTTCAAGGTATTATCGAACAGGAAAATACTTACGTGGTTGTTGTGTGCCGAGATGTGATGTGTTATGTGCGTCTTGGGTTCGAGACGTGGCCTTTCGATGTCCGACAAACGTTTTATGTTCTCTTTGCTGCTTATTTTCAGTACGAGCTGAAATGGAAACGAAAATTTTTATCAGAAAAATGGCGGATGCGCCGGGATATTAATATATTTGGCCGAATGAAAATTTACACAGTACCTGATGTCGACATTTTCATTACATTTGGCTTTACTCCATGAACATTAGACGAAAAATAACATTGTGCAATTCCTATAACTGCGACTATAAAAATAAGTCAACGATCTGGTAGTGACGTCCGCTATTTGCATAGATTAACTTCTGTGTCGTTTAACTTACTCGATGAGCAGTGAGCACTCACTGCTAATGACAACAATTTGCAAGTGCTATGCATGAAAATATCTTTCAATTTCATTAGTCATAATAACGATTTCTTCTTGTAAACAAGTTATTACAAAATTTTAAATCGAAAATTCTAAATCTTGAAAAACAAAAACAACAATTTTGTCTTTTTTAACAAATTCTAATAAGAGTTTTAAAATCTATAAATAGACAGAAATTTTCAGAGTTGGCAAATAAATAAATATCGCTTGATAAATATAGCCAAAAATATCACGATAAATATCAAGAATATTTATTTTTTGATATACAGGCGGTCCGTAAAGTCGTGCACCTCCGTGACACGCAATGTCGTAGACAACAAAAAAAAAATGTTTACAAAAATCTATCTAAAAAAATTTCGAAGTTATGAGAGTTTAAATTTTGCACTTCGACTCTTTTTAGGTATTTCTGTTGAAAAAATTATTTTTCAAGTTTTTTTTACTACAGGCTATTAGAAGAGAAAACAAGAAAGCTGTATTCTAAATTGTAACTCTATTTCATGTTATTTGTGGCTTTTATTGGCAAAATTTCTGTACCTTTACTAAATAATTATGAAAAAACAGACAACAAAAAACTGACATAAAAAATTCAAATGTCAAAATGTTTTGTCATTTTTTCAGTACTCTGGGGGACTACCTAATTACTCCCGTTCAAGGAGATGTGCTACTTTCCGGGCCCCCTATATATGGTGATAAATATGAAAATAAAAATCTACCTATAAAAATTTTGAAGTTATGAGAGTTTAAATTTTACACTTTGACACTATTTATTCCTGTTGAAAAAAATATTTTTACTACAAGCTATTATAAGAAGAAACAAGGAAGCTGTATCCTAAATTGTAACTCTATTTCATGTTATTTGTGGCTTTTACTGGCAAAATTTTGTACCTTTACTAAATAATTATGAAAAAACATATACAAGATCATAAGTATCATTAAATAAACATAAAAAACTGTCAAATGCCAAAAAATAAATATCAAAGTTTTTTGACAGATAGGATTTTTTAAACATTTTTTTAGTATTCTGGGGGACTACCCAATTACTCCCTTTCAAAGAGGTGCGCGACTTTCCGAACACTGTATATCACATAAATATCCATAAATATTGTATATTGCGATATTTTGATATTAATATAAATATCATGATATTTCCCAACCCTGAAAATTTTGAAACTACAAAACTTGCATTGTCTTCAAAATTTTTTCAACACAACCTTATATTAAACAACAAATATTATTAAAATTTTGAAATTGTAAAGAAAATTGTCAAAAGTAACAAAATGCGCCAAGCATTTTATGTACTTATAAAATACGTTGTGATTGACGACGTATTTTATAAAAAAGCGTATTAAATGCACCATAAAAACAGTATAAGACATTAGTGTTGGAAAAAAAATGTAAAGCTTTGTTAAAAAATTTCATAGTATTAGGCCGATATGGGTAATATAACAGAGTTTATGGCCGAGGCGCTAGCCGTGACTATAAATTATATCCACATCGGCCGTATGCATTATTATTATTCATAATCATATTGTCAAACTTAACTTGCGTGTGCCTTTGTTAAGCAACATGCCTGTTATCGATGAAATAACAGTCATGGAGACAATAGCAATCAAGTATCACGCACAATTTTTTTTAATACAACCGTACAGAAAATGAAAATGAATGTTATAAAGACTAGTAGTTTAGGTTTAATATCATGTTGTAGAACGTGTAACCTGCCATGTGTTAATCAAAAAGTAGTCTTCAACGCAAATTGTTATCCATTTGTTTAAGCATGCCATTAGTGGCAAACACACAAATCCATTAGGATATTATTCTTCAGCTTAACCATTAATTTAAAATTACATGAGCACATAATAATTTATTCATAGAAAGATGATTCTAAGGAAAATTTGAAAAGCTTGGTACCCTTAGTAGTCAGCTGGGCGGTAGTGCGGTCAATAGCCCGGCAAAGGTACCGCTTATGCCGGTACCACGTCTACCAAGGTCAGTGAGGCTACTCTCTATACGACGGAGCCGGATTCCTGCCGAGCTTCCAGTGAGGTGCACGGCCTATCGAACCAGCCCACCGTCGCGAAATATGTAACATGACACGCAGAGTACCCCGGACCGTTCCCACAGACGACTATATACATTCCGGACTCGTGTAGGTATCCGGAAACTGGTCAAAACGAACCGAAACAATCCGATTCCAAAAAAAAAAATTCGGTAACGCTTAACGGCCCATTTAATTATGATGTTGGTTCAGAGACTCGACAAGTAGTTTTCTTGTTATGGTCACCACATAAATAAATTGCACGTCAAATTAATAAATTGAAAACAATGACAAAAAAACAAAACAAAAACTTCTTCATTCTAAATTTTTTACAACAGTGATTAATTCACGCTAGTGCAGAAAAGTGACATTTTTACGCATTAATAAAGTTTATGTGGAGTTTATCAAAAATTTTAGAACAATTAGAAGTTTTTTCGAAAAATTTCAACTTCACAAGCGAGGTGGTCCCACGGAATTTTTGAGATATTAATGCCCACGGGATGAAATGGCGAATTTCTCCACCTCTGAAAGGTTAGGACTTGGTACAATACAATATCGTGAATAAAATATTTATAAATCTTGTTTATAAATTCACAATAGGTAAAAACAACAAATTACTTCTTTATAAAAATTATAGTTTGAAATTTATTAAGTTATTTCTTTTTTCAATACTTTGAAATTTTTCATTACATTTGGCCAAAACACATTGAAAAGTGCGAAAAACACAATAGTGTAAACAGGAGATACAAAAAGTTTTTTTTGCTACAGGCTATTAGAAGAGAAGACTAAATAATTATGAAAAAACATACAACAAAAAATTGACATAAAAAATTCAAATGTCAAAAAATAAATGTCAAAATTTTTTCACTGAGAATTCTTCAAACATATTTTCCACGTTTCTGGTAACTTATCTTTCTTGGCATTTTTGTCTGGGGCGCGAGTTATGAAACATCCTGTATCTGTTGAGTAATTTATTTTTTTAATTTTGTATTTATGAAAAAAAAATAATCATAGCAACATAAAACCAAGCTTTTTAACTATTTTTTTTATGACTTGTTTTTATAATTTTTACTCGTATTGCTATTTTACAATAAGTTGTGTATTTGTTTTCTTAGACTTGAATTAAAGTTTGGAAAAAAGAATATATCTTGTAAATTTGCAAATTAAAAAAAAAGTAAAACCTATACAGTACTCAACAAAATTTATTAATTATTGTATTTTTTTTAAATAATTATTGATTGTTATTTCTTTTTTCAATACTTTGCAATTTTCATTACATTTGGCCAAAATACATTGAGAAGTGTCAAAAAAAATCGAAATTTGATAATTTCAAAAAGCAACACAATAATTGTAAACAGGAGATACAAAAAGCAGTCACTTTATTTTGCACTATAACTATATTTCAGTTAAAAAAAATAATTTTTCAAGTTTTTTTGCTACACGCTATTAGAAGAGAAGACAAGAAAGTTGTATCCTAAATTATAACGATGTTTAACGTTATTTGTGGCTTTTATTGGCAAAATTTTTGCACCTTTACTAAATAATTATAATAAAAAAACATACAAAATCATCAGTAACATTAAACAGACAAAAAAATCAAATGTCAAATAGAATTTTTTAAAAACATTTTTACATGTTCCTGTTATCCTATTTTACTTGGAATTTTTCGCTGGGGCGCGAGTTCTGAAACACCCCTGTATATTTCAAAGACGTTACGAAAACACTTGATGAAACAAATTTCAGCTTTGTTGGCACGTTGACATTCCCTATAGAAAAATCGACAAAATGGCTTTAAAAGCGCAGCCATCTTGGAAAACTTTTAACAGCATTTTATAGGAAGATGTACTTTTCTCTTGCACAACAAAACCAAATGCTACTAAACACTTAAGAGTTGAGTTATTCAAATAGTCGACTCGTATTAGAAGTTAAGGAATACCCACGACACCATTAATGTTAGATGTCACAATGAAACAAACAACTTGCTTATGTTATGTTCTTCCAAGTGTAACTGCTGCTTTTGCAACTGTATTTGAAATGATTAAAATGATTCATTTACAATAAATATGAGATATGAATTATTATTAAGCACATGACCTGCTTATTGACAATTAATATTAATTTGATTTGAAAAATAATCGACTTTCGTTTGTCACGGCCAACCAGCTTGGAAACTAATTTCATGCAAATAAATAAAAATTGCAGCACGTTTCCGCTCCCTAATTAAACAAAAGTGAACGATTAGGAGCACTTGAAAAAGGCTTTAAATCGTAAACATGCACAATGACGTTTACAATCAGTGAATAGGAAGCATAAAATTATCACAACGTGAGAACGCAACTTGAGAGTCTGACGACGTTTCTTATCTTCTGGAATAAATGTGTTCACTGATGCAAGCTGCAGCAATACCGAAAGAAAGAAAAAGTTAATTACATACATTAAAAATATTCATTACCTGACAACGTGGCATAACAACATACTATTTACATTTATTAAGCAAATAAAATCTATAATTATTTCCAATTTTATCTCGGAATTTACACATATGCTAATATAACGCCTATCTAAATCACCCGGGGACAAGTTAAATATTACCGTGAAACATTCAATTAAACACGAGCGGAATCGATAGGTTGGAAAACGCCGAATGATTTATTGATAGAAATAGACAGCAAGACTGCATGACAATGTAATCGACTATCCGCCAAAATAATGAAAAAAAATGCCGGAATTAAAAAATATAACCCTCTTATCGAGAGATAAAATCACTCGTTCGTTGAATGGGAATGCGAACGATGATGTTCAATCAAAATATTTGATTTCGATGTAATGTTTACCCAACTCTGATTGTTTATCGTCACGATCAATCATCCAATTATGAGATAATCACCGATCGAAATGTCGATAACAACGCGAATTCATTAACGATGAATTTAACAGACGACTGCCTAGTAAAAAGAAATGCACCTAATTGATTTGACTCGGAGATCACCAGCGAGAAAAAATCTAACAGGAGCCAACTGAAAGGTTTCAAACACTTGACTTTTTCAGTCTTTCAATCAAAAAAATGTTTCACCAATAAAATGATAAATTATTTTATTCACAATCATTAAGTTACCTTCCTTTAAAAAGTTGGCAAGTATGACAATGGTGATTCAGGTTGAGCAGTGGTCATATTTTTCAAAATTTAATAAACTCTTTATTGTTTTTGTGAATAAAATAGTATAGTACAAACCTTGGTAGTCGTTACTTCATCGCACCTCGGCTTATTGTCAAATTTCGATCAGTATTGAAGCACGTGCCACCTCGGTATGTCATCTACTATTAGCGAAAAACCCACCACTAATTTTTTTTTGTTATCACAACATTTTTTATTTTTGTAATTTTTTGTGCGACTCGCCGAGGATAAAAAGGGTTTTCGAACAAATTCCCAAATTGATAGTCTTAGTAATGGTAATAATAATTTATTTCCAACGGGTAACCCCAATTACAGGAAAAAAAAATAAAAACAAAGTTACAAAGTAAACAAAAAAACAAATTATCAAATTGACACAAAATAACGTCCCAGAAATTATGACGTTGTCAAATAGTAACAAAATGTCTTCATCATGGCAAAAATTAACATAATGTGCAAATTTAAATTCGCAATAAAATTATAATTCGAGTTTTCACAAATTATTTAGATTTAAAACTGTATTTATAATGAGCCAAAACACATATTTACACAAAAAACGAAATTAATTAAAAGACTAAAAGCTTTTCGAGAAGTCAAATAACAATTTAAATTTATAGTAAATTTAATTATGCTTATGGTATAGTAATCGGATTAAAGGAATATAAATTTATGACTTGAGAGAATTACAATTTCATGATCTAAATAAAAGATAAGTCAAAGAAAATTAATAACAGTCTTACACATAGTATTTCTTATATAACTGAGTAATCCTTCTATAATAATTTAGAAAATAAATTTCTTTAATGGAACATTTGGCAAACTACACCGTTTTCCAATTGATTGAATATCGATTTTGGCAAGCAAAAGAACAATTGACCAAAAAAACCAAAACCTTATGACCGACATTCGCCCCTCGAGACCTGTCCATTCGTACAAATGTCATCCTTTACAACCCTTTTTCCGGTTATATCAATTCTCATGAAAAAAAGTCATCGCGTGCTCTGCTGCTGAAGTAGTCGCAAGTCGTCATCATCACTAAACCGGCCACCATAAGAAGAGTGAAAGGAGAGTTCAATGCCCAAAGACTTGCACCGTTCTTCACTGTCTTATCAAAGTGAAATTTTGGTTTTTCGCGTGACGAAAATTTCAGTCGCGTGTATCGCTTACACTATAAATAACCTCCATTCAATTTATGTCAAAATAACGTTATTTGCAATATTTAAAAGGCCGGAGGATTCATGTAAACCGGTTACGTAACGACAAATTGATTGTGCTGCAACAAATCCAAAACCAACAATCACACAAAAGCCATTATGCACGCTTTATCGACCAAAAAAAAAACAATACATGAGTCAAATGGTCGTAAAATAAACCAAACCATTCAAAAGAAAAAAACAAACTTATAAAAATTTTCGTTCGTCGCCGCCATAAAATAAACACTATTTCAACACCCCATCTGGGAGAGAATCCCGAGTCGGCTAGTGATCGATTTGGGGTTGTTGCTGTCTGTCAAAAATCGAATTTTCCCCTACACAAATTATGGTGTTGCTTTAATAGGAGAATTCGTGCTTGAAACTTTCCTATTCCTGTCACCGGATTTCGTGAAAATTCATAATCCGGGACGACTAACTCGGAAATACTGTCAACATGTTTGTTTCAACCTACACCGTGGAGTTATTTGCTGGCAATTAATTCGGGTAGGGTGAAATTTGTTCTCCACGATCAGATAAAAGAGAAACACGAAGTCTTTCAACAAAAATAGAAAACTGTATTTTATTAATTATAGTGTTTGTGGTGGTGGTAAAAATTTAATCAAACTATTGTACCACTCCACGTTTTTATCGTCGTTGCAAAACCTAGATAAAACTAGGAAAAACCGTTTTTAAATTCAGCGAGTATTCTACCTGACGCATCATAAAATGGTCGACCTTTTAAAACCCTCTATATAATTTACAGACCCCACTTACAACCAACAATTGATTTTCAAATGTAATACAACTGTAAAATAATTATTTGCGGTAATTTCGTGAATAGTTGCTTTATTTACGACTCAACAGACTTTTATTGCGACTGTGGGGTAAAATTTATGGGTGCCACTTAACTAAGGATTTAATATTTTAAATTTAAGACTTTGAGGCTTTAGTTACAAATTTATTTACACACTCGGGGGTTGAACATAAATCGTAGAGGTTTCATTAATTATGGTCAACAAATGCTTCATAAACATTTAATTAACTTAACTTGGAAATTAACCGGCCCAAATAACTCCTTAATTTAGGAAATTGCTTTCTTCTCACCACGAACAATCCGAAATAAAAACTGTTTCAGAATGCAAATAAACTCATCTGGACTTGAATTAAAAACATTTGAACGAAAATACATCATTAAAGCCATTTCGGCAAAATATACAGTATGTCTCCGGATTGAATTTACAAGAGGAAGAAAATTTTTATCTTTGATTTTACGCCATAACTGCAAAAAAAACATTTTTTGCTTAATTCTGGAATAATTTTTCTCTTTTTAAGTCCTACCACATTGGCGGTTTTTTTATTAGACAAATGAGTTTACGCAAGTTAAATAACAAAAATGTTTGTGAAAAACATAATTTTAATAACTAGGAACTCAAAGAAACAGCTTTAAGATAAAAACCAAAGCCATTTTTAACAAGAACTATCATTATTTAATTACATAATAAATTAATTGTCAAAGTGACACAGTTGTGAAATAAGTAAAACCGTCAATGTGAACTTAAAAAGCAGAGAGAAATTATTCCAAGTCGAAAATCAAGAGAAAAATTAACTTTTCTTTTCACTGCAGAATAAAAAAGTTTGAAGTACAGATGTGCTCGTTTCAGGTGCAGTTTTGACGTAAAATCAAAGATAAAAAATTTTTCCTCTTGTAAACTCAATCCGGAGACATACTGCAAACTTGCAGTTTTTGTTTTTCAACAAAAACTTTCAACTTCAATATCCAAAACAAATCGTTTTCACCAATATTTAGAAAAGTGCATAAAATATCCGATTCTGAAACACAGTAAAACCCCGTTCAACGAGAATTCTAGACAATTTTTTTTATAGTATATTATTCAACGAATGGGAAAGTTGGCCATTTCCACGAAGATGTAATACTTTTTCTAATCTTAAATAATGATGTTTTTTTATATTTTTCTGTTTATTATTAGTATTACATTACAGTAGTCGAGAAAATGAAATATTTTTTCCACTCTTTTCTATTTTCTCCATGGTTAAAGATTGAATAAGTTCTCAACTGCAAATCGTTTAGAAGAGTACAAATTCTTTAACACTATTAGAAAAAATAAATAAATCAAACAAAAATTCATATATCTGTAAATGTTGAACTCACTACTTTTATTTCTCCGCATAGAAGAAAAAAAAACCGTTATTCCTAATACTTTATTTTCTTAAATTAATAACATGATTGCAATCTTTATTCGTTGAAAATTACATTAAGTGACCCCCAATATGTTTCACAGGAAATTTTCTAGACTAGAGCAACAAGTTTTATTATTTCTTCCAGCAATAAATAGTAAATAAATGACAGGGAACCAAATTATTTGCTATAGTTGAGTTCTACTATAGTGGCAAATCGTGTATGTAATTAATTAATTGTAGGTTATATAAAATCATTCATTTTATGATTAGTTCAAAATGTAATTGATTTTAAACAAATAAAATCGAAAGGTTATTAGGACATCATAATTGTCATCAATGACATAATTGTAACAAGTGAGCAATGAAACGCCATTATCACAAGCAACTAGGATGCTTTGTATTTGTGGTGAAATTTGAAAACACCCTATAATGAAGATAATTATGATCGAAACAGGTGAATGAATAAATCAAAAGCAGACTTTCATTTGACATAGTTGAGTGTTACCACATTTTAAAATAAAACTGTCCCATACTTCCTCATTTTAATACTGATAACCCTAATTACGTAAGAAAGTATGTAATTTTACTAAAGAAAAAGATGGTTGTGATTTATTTTCAATATTTTTCTTGATCGAATGATTGGTGTTTTGAAACGGCTTTCCCGCATTGATCATGTTGACTTGTCATTTCGATTTCAATTTGCTTTTAAAATCAAGCTTGATATCCACACAATAGCAAGGTGATTAACATTTCTGCTGACAGGTAAATAATGCAAGAAAAACGTGACATTATCATGGAGATAAGCCAGAATTGTGGTGCGAGCCATTTTGCGTTGCAACTCACTTCTAGGTCCTCGTAGGACCGGAACTGCAGAATGGAGAACCCCTCGACGATGTCCTCCTCAACCAGCGGTTCTTTGTTCTTCTTGCGTCTGTTGTGCGGCCTTTGGGGCTTCTCCCTGACGACGTTCTCGTCGTCGTCTCCACTATCTGGTCCATCGCGACGGTCGGCCTTACCCTCCCTTTGGGCCTGCATGCGCTGGGCGCGTCTTCTGCGTCTGTTTCGCTGCTTCACCTCCACATCCATGACTCAAACATTGCTGCCGTTCCGACGGTGGCGGCGGCGATTCGCCCACATAGCGACCATTTACTACCAGCAGTAGCACCACCTGGAGCTATGGCGGACTCGGCACCCCGTCCTCCGCGGCTTAGCCCATCACCGGGGCGGCCCAAGGCACATCGCACGCCCTCACCAACACCACACACAAACAACACCATACACCGATTATCACACAACACCGATTTATCAACAATAAACAATATTTACAACGGACACGACACGGCCAGTCAATACAATGTAAAATGTCGCGACGCACCAGCGCGCCCTCGCGGACACTAGCCCAACACACGACAATCAACAGCGCTGCCAACAGCGCCCCGACAAACACACCAACGGGACAATGGCCTTTTGACACACCAACTCGCCAACAGGGGTGGACCACGAACAAAGACAACCCCTCCTTCAATCAGACAATTCACCGTTTCTCTGAGATAATTTATACAAAGCATTTTTTACGAAAATCAAGTGAGGTGGCACCCCTGCGCCCATCAGCTGTGACAACCACCTTAAGCCGGCGCACGAACCATAGTGTTTTTCACCATGGTTGTGACTCCGTTTTACAATTACGCGATTAGTTTTTTTTGCATTATCGGTTTGGGTTTATCGATTTATGCCTACATCGTGGAATTGCAAGTCGAAAATGACAGCAAATATGTCGCCATGTGCGATATTAGCGAACACATGAGCTGTTCCAAAGCATTCAAGTCCGAGTAAGTAGCAATTTATCATTTTTTTTGTTTATTGCTCACAGTGTTGCCAGATCAAAAACATAAAATTCACCAGATCTGAGTTGAAGCCAAATTTTCACCACATTACGGTTTGTATGGATAAATCTTGCGAAATACGCTGTTTTCAGCTTAAAAATCTTATTAAACTCTTGAAAAAAGCAAAAATGACATTTTTTCGGCTTAATTCTGTGATTTTTGGATTGTTTTCAAGAAAATTTTGCGAAATAATTGTGTTTCTAGCTCAAAAACGTGCTAAAACTCTCAAAAAATGAAAATAATCTAATTTCAGACTTAATTTCTTGATTTTTTAGTTTGTTTTAGCGAAATCTAGCGAAAAACCTGAAATATTAGTATAAAAACGTGCTTAAGAGCATTTTTCAACCAAATTTTGTGGTTTCTCGGCTTATTTTTGCCTGAATTGTGCTCAAAAACTAGTTAAATCGAGTAAAACAAACAAAATAACTTCAATGTCAATTATTTTTGTGTTTTTTTTTTGGTACGTTTAGACGAGATTTTGCAAAGTGAATGAGTCTCTAGTCAAAAACGAACTAAATCGAGTGAAACAAGCTAAAAAATACACCATTTTTTTGGTTTTATCTCAAAAAAACGTTCTTAAACACTCAAAAATAAGTAAATAACACTACTTTTAGCCTATTTAGTTGAATTTTTGTTTTTTTTAACACAATTTTGCGTTTCTAGCTAAAAAACCTGATAAAACACACAAAAAGTAATATAATTTTTTTTTCGACTGTGTGTCGTGTTAAAATGTTCAAGAAATGCAAAAATAACGTAATCCTAGACTTAATTTCTTGATTTTTTAGTTCGTTTTAGCGAAATCTAGTTAAAAACCTGAGATTTTAGTACAAAAACGCGCTTAAAAGCATTTTCGGCCACATTTTGTAGTTTTTCAACTTATTTTTGTCTTAATTTTGCACAAAAACCAGTTAAATCGTGTGAAACAAAGAAAATAACATCAATATCAATACTTTTTGTGATTTTTAGGCCTGTTTGCAAAATAAATGAACCTCTGGTTCAAAAACGGTGTAATTCGGGCGAAACAAGCTAAAAATCAATTTCGATAATTTTGTAATTTTTTAGCCTGTTTCAAGGCAATATTTTGAACTTTTTGTGTTTTTATCTCTCAAAAACAGGTTTCAAAACTCGAAAAAGAAAAAAACGCCGTTTTTGGGCTATTTTGTTGAATTTGTGGCTTGTTTTTGACACAATTTTGCAAAATAATTGTGTTTCTAACTGCAAAAGCATACGAAAAAACTTTTCGACTCTGTTTAGTAATATTTTGTAAAAATTTTATTTAGTGATTTTTGACAACATACCTACTGTGACAAACTCTCGCGAAAAAAACAGAGTTTTCAGCTTAAATATTTAAATTATATCATTTTCTGCGTTTTTTGGGTTGTTTTTAACCAATTTTGCGAAATAATTGCGTTTCTAGCTAAAAACACCCTAAAACTGACAAGAATAAATGCAAAATTAATGTAATTTTCGACTTAATGTGTTGATTTTTCAGTGCGTTTTAGCGAAATCTCGCAAAAGACCTGAGACTGTAGTACAAAAACGTGCTTAAAAACATTCTCAGCTTATTTTTGTCTTATTTTGCTGAAAAAACAGTTAAATCTAGTGAAACAAACAAAATAACATCAATATCAATTGTTTTTGTGTTTTGTAAGCGTGTTTGGACAAGATTTTGCAAAATAAATAATCCTCTGGTTCAAAATCGAAGCAAAACAAGCTAAATATAATATCAATTTCGATTTAATTTTGTCATTTTTTTGACTGCTTTGATAAAATTTTTCGAATTGTCTTTGTTTTTATCTCAAAAACGTGCTTAAACATTTGAAAAGGACAAAAATAACGCCGTTTTTGGTCGAATTTGTTGGATTTTTGCATTGTTTTTAACGCAATTTTGCGTTTCTAGCCGAAAAAGTATTCGAAAAAGACAAAAATAAATTGTCATTTTCGATCCTGTTTAGTAAAATTTGGTGGTTTTTCGACTTTTATTGAAAAAAAAACAACGAAATAATCAAGTTGCTGGTGAAATTTCACCACACCTGGCAACACTGATTGTATATCAGTGACACTACAAGTTACAGGTATTTAGTATTAGTTGCGCTTGAGTCAGGTAGATGGCGCGCCATGTTGTATTCGTTTGTTTTTCAGGTATGGCAAAGGATTGGGCCTCGTCTCCAAGGACTCGATCTTTTACAAGCCTAATAGCCTGCTGGGAATTTTATTTTACAGCCTAACGGCAACTCTAGGTAATTATTTATGTGTGAATGTCGAAAGGTATAATTAACGCCTACTTTTCTTTTTCTAGCTCAATCAAATTCTTCGATCATCAGCCGACTTTCCTATTGGTCAATTTTTTTAGCGAATCTTACGTCACTTTATTTCGCGTACATCCTTTATTTCAAATTGTACGACTTTTGTATTGTTTGCGTTTCTACCTATGTTGTTAACATCATTTGTTTGATTTTGACAAATTTGAAACTGCGTAAATTGACAGCTTTGGAAATTGATGCCACTAGGAAAACAGATTAACAATAGAGGGCGCTCTGTCTCAAGACTGTCTATTATATAACTTGTTATTTTTGATGTTCATATAATAAAAAATGATAGAGAATTGTTGTATAATGCTCCGGTTTGATATTCCTGCAATAACACTTGCCGTGTATTCAAGCCCACTCTATTGACGCAACCGCTCAAGAATCTGAACTGTGATAAGATGCAGAGGCGGATTGGACTTATTGGGACAGACGCCAAGAAAGGCACTGTCAAGGCTTCGGTACATTTGGCCGAATTTGCAACAATGTTGCATAATTATGCGACTTGAGTCATTTTCCGGGATAATTTGACATATCCTTTTCCTCCGGTCGATCCGAAATTCCGCCAAAATTAGTTCCTGCTAAACAGCGTGTTTGTATCATTGATAGCCGCAATCGGCAACTCCTACGCGACTCGCAAGGTGATCTGTAGGCACCAAGGCGAGGCTCAAACACGCTGCGACACTCGCAGGAAACGCATCTCCTGCTGCTGCTGCAGGAACGGTCAATACGCGTTGTGTTTCGTGTGCAGTGAGAAGCATGGTGGTTGTTCCCTAAGCAGGAATATCGGACGTAAGTATGGACTTTGGGGCGGGTGATTTAAACGCTGGCTCAGGAATGTAAAAAAGTCGATTTTTCGCGGCGAAAAGAAGATAGTTACATGACGCACATATGTCGCATGACCTTGGTACCTCAAAGGTGGCTAGATTTCTCATCTCACATATGTTTTTCTGAGCACGTCTCTGGTGTAACAATGCGACATTGTGCCGATTTCGGTCAAGTGTCCCTTTTGGGTGAACAATGCCATCGCAAGGTTTGATTTTTCCGTCTCGAAGGTCAGTTCAATGCCCAAAATTGTTGGTGGTTTTAATTAGCAGTTCGTTGACCAATTTGCATAACCCGGAGTCCTGTTATGACAATACAGGGTGCAAAAATTGTAGATAAAAATGATGCTTGTCGATGAGTCATGCAAGAGTTGATCTGCTAAGGTCCTCGCTCGACTCCTTGACTGTCTATAAAAGGATACTACGAGAGAAACGAGTATGCCTAGTTTGTCTGCGATTTAATATCGGACACTTATCATACTTAAACATCCAATTAAAGCCTCTGGGAACTATTACGGTTTTTACTATTGATAGCTGAGTTGCATAATTTAAGACCGAGGGTTTGTCTAGACGACAGCAAATTAGTTGCAGAGAAGAAAAAAACTGAAACTCGAACCCCAAGCGATTAGATCTAATAGCAGAATCTTAAAAATTCAGACGAAATTGCTCGTTAAAAGCAGAAACCCGCAAAATCAATCAACTTCAAGGGAATTTTTAAAGTAGGATGTAAAATGTTACTTCTGGACCAGGACATTTGGCGTCTTAAAATCAAGGTTGAATCTTACAAATTTTACTGTTTTCCCAAAAGTCAATAACCGAAAAAGGTCTTATAGACTTATAGTCAACACCCTGTATGACAAAAAGGGCATCAAAATTATACAAATCACTGAAGCAAAAAATCTTAGAAATTATTGATATCAAAGTTTGAGTTTTCAAAATTTGGAAAAAAGTTAAAAATTAAGTCAACAACTGAAAAGGGCCTAAAACCCTTCAAAAAGCATTAATTTAATTAATTAATTACAAATTTAGTGTTTTCCTAAAAGTAAACATCCGAAAAAGATCTAAAAACTTACAAAATGCCTTGTTTTTTTAAGCACCCCAAAATGGCTTTTTATTTCTACACCAAAACTTTGGCGTCTTCAAAAAACAAGGCAGAACCTTAAAAATTTAGCTGTTCTCCCAAAAGAAAACAACTGAAAACGGCCTAAAACCCGTTAAAAAGCATTAACTTTTATGCACCCCAAAAGTACCAAATATCTGTAGTCCATCAAAAATTGGGTACACGAAAAAACTGTTGAAATCTCCCAAAATAATGCAAAATTACTTCAAGAACGCCCTAAAAAACTAACAAAATACCTTGTTTTTAAACACCTCAAAATGGCTTTTTATTTCTGGACCAGACCAATTTGGCGCATGCAACAAAAAAGGGAAAAACAACACCAAATCAAAGAGGTATATTTGGCGCCTTACAAAACAAAAAGAATCCTAAATTTTTTATGCTTCCAAAAAATACTCAAAAATCAATAGGCCACCAGAAAATGGGCACATGGGAAAACTGTTGAAAATCATATATTTTTTAAGATAAATGGTAGTAATGGGAATTAAGCACTTCAACAGTGCAGATAGTGTGGATGCGGCTCTTAAACAGATGATAGTGGACAAAGTCTATGCAAATTGTTGTCTCGTTACTGAAAATAAAATTCTTCTGGGTGTATTTTTAGCTCGTGATGGAAAGATCTCTGTTGGTTGCGTGGTAAACATTAATGAAGAAAACAGTCCGGAAGTTATCATGGAGGGAAGAGTATGCGTGGACAGCGAAGGAAACACTCTGTTCCCATTAAATGAAAAAATACAAGTTGATACAAACAGTAATTTATGATTTTGTTTTTGTAGTACTATAATTGAATGTTTTCTTATGGTCTCAGTTAGGTATCTATAATTTTTTATACGACCGCCGAATTTTCTTGCTTTTTATTAAATTTTGTAAATTACGGATTATATTTTGTTTTTTTTATTGTCCCAACTAAGCCCCAGCAATGAAAACGCAGTTTGGGATATCTAAGAAAGGATTTTTTTATGTTTTTGACGCGCTTTTTTCTGGTGGCTTTTTAACTCTTCAATGTACTCCCAACGAAAACAGGGGATGTTTTGCACTTTTTTTTATTAACTCGGTAAAAATAGTGTGTTCAAAACCGAGGGATTTGAATAAGAATTCTGGCTTTTTTTACGGTCTGTTTTTTTTTAATTTTACCAATTATTATCCTAGTCCATCAATAAAAAGCCATTTTGGGGAATTTAAAACAAGAGCTTTTATTTGTTTAATATTTTTACCGGTCTCCATTCCGACCGGTTAATTTTTTGCTTGTGCCAATGGCTTGGTCCAGAAATAAAAAGTCATTTTGGAGTGTCGCAAAACAAAAAATGCTGTAAGGTTTTTTGGGTGCTTTTAATGTAATTATGCTTGATTTTGGATGATTTTCAAGAGTTTTCCTAAGTGCCCATTTTCTGGTGGTATATTGATTTTCGAGTATTTTTTGGGCGTATCAAAAATTATGGTTTTTGAAGGATTCGTATCTTTTTTGGTTGTTTACTTTTGGGAAAACATAAATTTTTAGGAATCTGTCTTGTTTTGTAAGGCGCCAAATATACCTCTTTGATTTGGTGTTGTTTTTCTCTTTTTTTTGCATGCGCCAATTGGTCTGGCCCAGAAATGAAAAGCCATTTTAGGGTGTTGAAAAACAAGGTATTTTGTTAGTTTTTTAGGACGTTCTTGAAGTAATTCTGTTCTGCCTTGTTTTTTGAAGACACCAAAGCCCTGGTCCAGAATAAAAAGCCATTTTGGGGTGCTTAAAAACAAGGCATTTTGTAAGTTTTTTAGATCTTTTTCGGATGTTTACTTTTAGGAAAACAAAATGTTTTAAATGTAAATCCATATTCATGTAGGGTAAACCCAGAGAGATGGACTTTGGAACTTAGAACCCTTCTAGGGCTTCATCTCTCATAGCAAAATGTTGATTCGTGGATTTTTGTAGAAAGTGAAAAAAAGTTTTTGAAAATTTATTGTAAAACCTTTCTTTTTTATTCACTAAAATTGTTATTTCTAATTTTTTGTTTTTTTCGTTTTGTTAAAATTAATAATTAATTACGTTATTGTTAATTAACATCAAGGAACTTAAACCTAATTTTTTAAAGCAATTTTAAAAACAATAATAGCTGGCAAACATCACAAATTTTGACACGTGTACTTAAATTATTTTTTACTCTAAAAGCAAGACCGATACAAGTTTTATAAAACAGAAGAATTGTTTAAAAATAATGTATCTTTCAAATAAAAAAAAATTACGCCATTCGGTTAACGTGTAACAAAAATATGGCTTAAAATGTGTTAGGTTGTTAATAAGCAAATATTCTACAATAACATAATAATAAAACAAAAGAAATATCACCAAAACATGTTGGTTTGGATAGTAAATTGCCTGTACCAAATTTCATAAAAATTGATTATTACATTAAAAAATTATTAAAAAAAGCGAAAATAATTTTTAAACTTTGGCGCCCTCTAACTCTTAAATGCTACAACTTGGTATAGAGGTAAACTGGGTTGAATCGCTTTATTTTGACCTGGGAAATTTCAGGCTACTCTTTGACTCTACTTTTCAATACACCCTGTATTAATTTTTTTCTGTAATTAAAAGAACACGTTTGCTATTTTGTTACGTTTATAAGTTATCAGAAAAAAAAAACATTCGTGATTTGAATTGAAACCAAGATCATAATTTTACGGCAGATTTTTCAAAATGTGGTCCATCTTCCCGGACTAACCCTACCTCAGCCTTTCAGTCGTTTTTATAAGAAATTCAAATATTTTCAAAATAAAATTTAAATAAAAATAAAAGTAATGAAGACAAAACAAAATCGTCATTTTGTTTAAATTTTACGAAATCTCAAGTTGCGATGATCATTTTATTCCAAAGAAATTTTTGTTTTGCAGAAAATGCAAAAAAAATTAATGTAAAACGGTTAATAAAAGCAAAGACAAAGCCGTCATTTTAATGATATTTTAACGGAATTTTTCCAGTCCGGCCCTGACCGATTACACAAAAGTGATCGGTTTCGGTAATCATAATCACAAACAATGATCTAAAATGTCCATTTTTGGACATGTTTGGCAACTGCTTATTTAAAAATAATCTCATTAAGAGAATTACTTTCTCACGTTGAGTTTTAACCGACCCTGAAATTGAAATTTGACCTCTAGTCTGGCAGTTCACTCAAAAATATCAATCATCTTTGTTTAATAACAATAATTATAAACAAATGAGCGTTATTATTAACTTTATAACAAGAATAACGGATAAATTAAGAGGAATCTGACAAAATGTATTATGTATTAAATTTGTTTTTTTTGTTTTTTATTCATCTGACATTGACTGAAAAAGAAATAATTCTGCAAGAGACAAACACCCTGTATGATTTACTCAGTTCTGCCAAAATTTCTTGAATTCTTGCCCTTGAACAGCATGTTGAAATAACGTATTTTTAGATTTTGTGGTCAATGAACTTGTCTTAACTAAAAGTATTAATTTCGAAAATCAGATACCTGTTGTGGAAATGCATAAAATAATGATGATAAACTATAACATATCATTTTCGAAATAGAAGTTACGCAAACAGAATGAATAAACCAACAGTGACATATTTCATTTAATGTATTCAGTATGAAAATTTTAAACAGTGATCCAGTCATCACGTAATGACATAAAGTGTGATTCTTTATCTCGCACTTGAGCAACATTGTCCATACCAATGAAGCAAATAAAGCACTGAATGCAAATTCGAGTTTTTGTCGCTCAGCACTAAAAAATCTTTACGAAATATTTGGGTCGTAAATTCTGTTAATTTTAGCAACTTTGTAGGACGTAACAAATTGTTATATCTTACACAGTGTTGAAAAAATTTCCTGCTGTTGTAATACACAACACACGTAGACCACATTGTTTTGAAACAGAGATATACATTAATAAATTTGTACATATCAAAATTATAAATCGGTTGTAATAAGTGTGAATTACAATAATTATATTGCTGGGCTTTTGCATCTAGTTTAAAAAATGAAATTAAGATCTTGTTATGATAATTTAACACATTGTACAATTGTAGTGGCCTATGACAATGTTGCCAACTTAATTTCAAACTCGCAGGCCACTTTGATCTGATGAATTTAATTGAACACGTGGTGCGTCTAACTGTAATAATTTTCCTTCAAGTTGTTGTTTATTTTTATTTGTAATAACTACTAATATTAAATATTACTCGTCACATAGCTACACGGATGACTAGATGAATAAATTATACGTACTTACCTTTTTCAACTACCTGCAATTACAAGCATTTTAGTCGTCAGTCAACGCAGCTTGTATTAATCTTTTTCAAAATAATACAAAATAATAATATTAGAAAATGCAAAGGTTTCTGTTTTATTTCCAACACGTGCTTATAAACAGACAATTACTTTGATAAAAATTCCAAATTTTTTGATTTTCATAATAGGTTCATTTAAAAAATTAATAATACTTAATATTTTAATTTTAATATTTTAATTTTCTGTGCCCTATACTTAGCAGGGCCGGACTGAGGTAACTTGGTTTATCATCTTATTAATCATAATTTTGATGTATATACAAGGCGGCGTTTTCGTCCTCGTGTAATAGCAAATAGTAAGTAATAATAAAAATAAATAGTAAATACAGGGAGATCAAAAATTCATTCTGGCAAAGAAGCCTCGAAATTTGCGTGTGTCTGTGGAAGGCAAAATGTCTTAATGACAACTGAGAAATGTCAAAATAATATTTATTGTAAATTATGACAGGACATCCTTATGTGTTTTGTATGGTTAAATACCAATAACATCTCATTTCAGGATGTTTTAAAAGGTTTCATAGAATAATTCACCTTAGATTTTATATTATACAAAATACATAATTTTTTGACATATACATATATGGGTTGACATTCGACATACGTCCTCAAATAGGACGCCTACTTGAAAAACTTTTTGATCGCATTTTAGTGTAATAAAAAATGAAAAAGCATTTTTGACCTTTATTTTTATTATACGTTGCAAATAAGACACATTTCACGTTTTACAAAAAATTTTCATATTTTTTTTTTATGCAAAATTTTGAAAAATTGTGATTCCGCTTTTTTTTGAATTCTTATATATATGTATACATAGAAAACAAAAAGTAGACAACCAAGTGGATTTATTAAATGATTTAGCTTCAGAAAATAATAATTATTAGAAACTCAGTGCTATAAAAAATGTGATCGCGTTTTGAGAATAAAATCTTGTATTGTTTTTGATTTTGCTATTTTTTTTTTCAAAATGACATCTTATATAATTATTTTTTTTTCAATAAGAAAACAAATACACAACTTAATGTAAAACAGCAATAGGTACGAGTAAAAATAATAAAATCAAGTAATAAAAAATTAGTTAAAAAGCTTGGTCAAAGTGCAAATTTAAACCCCTATAATTTCGAGATTTTTATATTCTCTGTGACCAAGTTCTGAAACACCCTGTATTTTCTTATATCAATCTAGATATCACTGAAACTGAAATTTCATTTTCTCCCGCTAGTGAAGCAATTCTAGAGACAGTAATCAGTAATCACACAAATTAAATTAAATACTCGTACTAAAACTCGTGTTGTATACTTTATTTTCTGTAATATGAACCAGAGTTTGCGTCTCGATTTACCGTTGAAGTCTCCAATGTTTATCTAAATTACTTCGAATTTTTTTAACAAAATAAAGAATGATAATAGCAGATTACTTTGTTTTTACAAAAAAAACGTCTTGCAAAAGTAGGCATCAAATTTTTTTAAATTAATTATTTGTTAGTAAATTAAGAAATCGAAAGCAACACCAAAGTAGCCCAAGCACTAATTAATTCAATATAAATAATAAACCAAATGATTCAGCTTTCAAACATCCAGGCCATTTTTATAACATCGAATCGTTTATAATTATCATATTTAATTAATTATGGTGACTATGCTTTCATTTTCGGTTTGAGCGGAAATGAATAACTAAAAGCGAAAACTGAACTACTTATATTTAACACACAGAAAAGTTTCAGGAGAAAATATTGCGAATTTTCTGAAAGCATTATGACAAAATTCTGAAACGAAACGAATTTGCATATAATTCAGATTACTAACAGTTCTAGGAACTCTTGTGACAAAACAGCCAACAAACACCCATTTCCGCGAACAAAACAAACAATTGGTTCGTTTAAGGCGCGTGCCATTTTAAATTAAGACATAAATGCGTCTCAAAATAACAAATAGCAGGTCAAGGCCCAATTAACCTGTCGAATATTTAGCCAATCTATTGTTTTTGCGAAAGCGAATTCCTCGGTTGCAAAACTTGACATTCAAACGTGTTTGCTGTACGAATTAGGAAATCCTTGTTTTCCCAAAATTGTTACCGTGGGAAGCCGACAACCGTTACGCAACAACTGGAGAATATATAACAATAGTGCATTGTGATAACTTTCATCGACTTTACACTTGTATCAATATGATTTAATTTCCATTGTGTTGTTGTTGCAGGAGATGACGGAAGTTGCAAGTCTTCTACCGGCGGACCATAGATTGACCACGGTTCGCCGGTACGAAGCCGGACCACCGGAAGGACTGGAATTGGTAAGTCCGGAGCTGGACAATCTTGATATAGGCAACCAATTATACACCGGTTAACTTTCATCGCCGCACCTTGTGACCTTTATCATCTTGGAACGTCAATAGCGTAACGCAATTTTGCACGATCATAAGCGAATTTAATCGATTTGGCGGTTATGGCACTAAATCATAGCGGGCCTTGGGTGTCGGGGTCAACAAACGCCCTTATTACGCGATAAAAAAGAAAAATCTTATCTCACTTTCAAGTTTTACATATTTTTCATCTTAATTAGGATTTTTAACAAGATTTTTGTGAGATTTGTAAAGCCTGAAAGCTTTTATTTGGTATAATGTGTTCGGAACTTAAAACTTGTTTAATTTTCAAGTTTATTTTCGTTGTTTATACCTGAGTTATTTTTGGAATAAAATCGAGTTCTAAATTTACGAGTTGGGTTTTTAATCGAATTTTTTGTCCGAGACGTATCATTTTTTTTTATTTAAATGAACTAAATAAACATTTCTGTCTGTGGCTACTTTCACACTAATAAGGTTAAAATACAATTTTATTTTACACTAGGATAAGTTAATCAAGTAATGCTGCGTAAAAACAACAAAACATAAATGTCAAATCGATTAATAGACTTGAGTTGGCTTCTGTCTTAATTGGGCGTTGAAATCTCTCAGAATTTCGATTTTAACAGTAAGTTTTAGCACACTTATTATTACTGTAAATAATATTTGTGTCAATGCGATTTCTTTTATTAGTTATACAGGGTGAATATAAAGTATGGAACCAAACGTTTTCTCTTTTTAAATCATTTGACTACAGAAAATAATAATTAATATAAATTAAAGTAATATAAAAAATGTGATCGTATTTGAGATTTTGTTTTTGAGTTGTGCGATTTTTTTGTCAAAATGGCAACTAACGTAAAAAAAATTGCTAAAAATTAAATATAAAGTAGATAGTTGTAATTCTTAGGTCATAACCTTGATGAGAAAAATGGTTTTAATTAAAGAAATAAAAAAAATTTCAGAACTCAAAAAATTTGGAAAAATCTTATTCTTGAAAAAACGTCACATTTTTATAGTACTTTTCATCAATTGATTTTTCCAAAAAATAAATAGTTTATGGTTCTATACTTTTTATTCACCTGGTATAATGACTAATATAAAAAATTGGAAAAAAGTTTTGTTTTTTTCAGAGTAAATAACTTAATCAAAAGCATTTTAGAAACATTTTTTTTAATTGAAACAATGGTGATTGCTTTCAAAATTATTATTTCTACCTTTACCATAAAAGTTTAGCTGATTTTTATTGTTTTTAGCTATTAAACAAGTAAATTCAATTAACAATAAATTTCATTTAGAAGCTTTTGTCTTAACTGCGTTGAAATCTCTGGGTATTTCAACAAGATTTGAATTTTAATAATATTTAATATTTTGTTTATTATTATTTTTGTGGTAAGTTATAACATGAATATTTTTACTAATTAGGCACACACATAACATTTCTTTTTTTTTTCAATTAGATAGTCATTTACAACAAAAATTTTTAATATGTTATGTCAAGCGTTTACAGAACTGAATGAAAAAACATTCTCGTATTATTTACTAATTTATTTCCAAAAATAGCTATCCTTGGTTAATAGTTTAGTCAAAAAAATTCTTTAACATCAACAAAAAAAAATAATATAATAACTTTACAAACAAAAATATTGGTTTTACAGTCATGTCAAAAGGCTAGCAAAGTTTTATAGTTTTTATATACCACCATATTCGTATGTGAAAATAAAATCAATTTAAGCAATTTTAAATTAGTAGAGGTTTCTGTCTTAACTTTGCGCTGAAATCTCTCACTATTTTAACAAAATGTTAATTCTAATATTATTTAAAGACATTTTATGATTAATCGTCGTTTCATAAAAAAGTTATTTACAATTCTTTCTTTCTTATATGTAATTTTCTTACCAAAATGTTTTGTGTGAAAAACATGTTAGTATAGTAGAGTCACGATTATCCGAAAAGATTGAAATCAAACCCGTTTCAGATAATAATCAAAATTTTGGTTAAATTGGAAATAGGAATAAAGATAGTAAATCGTTTCTTAATGCACAAAAAAATTAATACCTACACAGACTATTCCTTATATACAGGGTGTTCCAAGTTTTATGGCCGGTGCAATTTTTTTTTTAATTGATTAAAAAAGTATTTGATAGTGTAAACGATAGAGGATTATATAATACATTTTAATCTGATGTTTTGATATTGTACAAAAAATTTTGCGTATGGCAGTGAGACCTTAAAAATTAAATCATCTCAAACTTGGTCATAAATTACCAGAATTCCCAGTTTTCAATATTAAAACGTTAATTACTCAAAATCTATCAATTTTTATATTATTTAATTATCACAGTTACCATTAGAAAAAATCAAAAAATATTATTATGTAGAAAAGATTCCTCTTGATTATTTTTTTTTCAAATTTAGTTTTTAGGGTCCCATTGATGGACGCTAAAAATTTTGAACAATATTACATCAAATCTCTATCGTTTGCACTAGCAATTTTTTTTAATCAATTAGAAATATTTATTTTTGCGCCGGCCCTAAAACTTGAGACACCCTGTATAAACTGATTCAAAAGTGTCTCGAATGGTGATAAAAGACTTTCAGCTAAGCACAAAAATAAATCCAGATTTTTTTCAAGCCCTTTTTTATTGTTGAATTTACTAGTTTGTTAAATGTTTTATATACCAAAAGACACAAATTGGTGATTTTTTCAACAGACATCTGTTTAATGTTGCAAAATCTACCGTTTCTCTATCTAAATTCATAAATACGGCACGTACACGGCCAAAGACCTAAACCAAAATTTAACTTTTAAGAGTTTTTTGTCTTTTATTACCACCCAAGAGACAGCTCAAGATTTTTTAATCACCCTGTATCGTGAAAATTTTTTTTTTACTTTTTTCCAAAATAAAAAAAAAATAACTAACAAAATTTAGGGTTTGTTTTCGGGATTTAAATTTTTTGATGACTTCGATTATCCGGAGTTCGTATAATCGAGAATCCACTGTATTATTGTTTGCTAATTTTTTCTGAACTTTGTACACAATTGGCAAAAAATATAATTTTTGGACCACACTGTATATGAAAGTAAAACGTCATTTATGTCAATTTGCAACCTTGCTAATTATCTTTACTGCTTTATTAAGGAAAACTAAAATAGAATGTAATGAAAACACGAAGAAATGCAGACCGGAAACGCAAGATAAGTGCATACATAATATTCTCAATAATAACTTTGCTATTATTACTGAAAGTAGGTGCATACGTAATGTGCTTTTTAAATGGCTATTTTCTCGTAATATCGGAGTTTTATAAATGTTGTTTTTCATTTTCATACTACAAGTACTTAAATGTCAGCACTAATAAACTCACCCACAACTCAAAAAGCATTATTTCTGGTATTTAGAATAAGTATTTCCCGTGTTGTATACTTAATTTTTTAATGTGGACCAAAGTTTGTGTCTTAATCTACCGTTGAAGTCTCCAAAAATAACGCAATGTGAGACGCTAAACGCTTTAACATCTCCTTTTGATTTTTTATTAACTCGACGAAAAAGTGTATTATTGCACTGTAGAACGTGGAGTTAACCTCGTACTTTGATAAGTAAATGAATTACACAACAAATAAATTACTTAATGAAAGTCAGTAATCGGGGGCCACTTAACTAGTTTCCTCACCATTTATGGGAGAAATTGAATTTGAAATTACTTTGACATTTATTGAATTTTGACAAATTTATCTCGGCCAACTAACACCAACAAATCCAACACCCGATTCATATCTTCATTGTTCTCACGCTAGTTGGTTTCAAAATTCAGGATAGAGCGAACTGAAAGTGCATTCCAACCGCACCCACCTCAAAACGCAAATGCCAACCCTTTTAATTGATATTTTCGGAAAATGAATGTGAAAATGTGAGGGCTATAAACCGTAGAGGTGCGGTTATCTAAAGCACTACAGGTGGAACAATACTATGATGTAATGTGTGTGAGAGTGAATATTCCGCAAAGTCGGAACGTGGTGGTAATAGTACAGCAGGTTGCAATTCTCAATGGTTTAGTGCAGTGGCGTTCGCGACACAGTGCTGAAAAATCGAATTTAATTGCAATTAACTCGAAGGTTTGCGAATTATTTTAGCCTCGGATTGTGTGTGGGAAATAGAAATTTGCGGAATATTCGGGATTTGGTTAGTCTGTCCCCGCGCTCGAGATGGGTGCGTGTGTTACGCAATTCCGCACTAGTGTTTAATCACCTGCGACCGGCCGACTCTAATTGTTCATAAACACGACAACCTGCCAGTCTCGTGTAATAAAACCGAAACGGAGGTTTCGATAAACGCTTTCGAATCGATTCAATCGCCGGATGTTTACTATTTTAATCGGTTGAAGGTTAGAAAGCAACAGCGCCACCTTTTATTGTTCTTTAATTAGAATTGTTCATTTGACGTGCAACGGGGTATACACTCTTCAAGATTGTCCAGTGCTATGAATGGTGGTTATAGTTTTTGTCGACGACCCTAGAGGTCGTTCACAATTTACATCACACGAAAAAGTCACTTATTGCTCGAGGATCTTCATTGAACCCGGTGTTTTTTACGCACAGGTTGAACCAGAAGAAACCTTTGCCACCACCAAAGAAGGTAAGTCGCAAGGCCGTGACCAATGGGCAAAACCACCAAACTGTTAAGTTTTGTTAAAATTTTAAGACATTTTAAGTTTAAAAAAGAGCAAATTTGAATTTAATTGCGTTAGAAATGTCAAAACGATTAACGATAAACTCGAATCGGAGACTTCTTTCTTGACTGCGCGTTGAAATCTCCCGGTATTTTAATTGAATGTCGATTTTAATAATACTTTAACTAAGTTGCGTATTGTTATTCACCTCAAAATTTAAAATCAAGTTGTATTAATGTCATTTCATTGTTGTTTTTTTAATTAGAGAATTATTAATTTTTTGTCCTTTAAGTTTTAAGAAAAATGCATAGATAAGCAAAGGTTTGAGAATTTTTTTTTATTATATGATTGTATGAAAAAAGTAAGAATGAAAAAACAATGAAGTATTGTTTGCAAATTTATTTTACAAAAGTTGACTACTTGAAAGGTTTGTCAACATTTAAAATATCGAGTGACTGTAAATGATTGTGACTTTTTACCTCAAGTTGGTGTCAAATTTTAGTTTGGCAACCTTGACTTTCAAATTCAAACGTCAAACTTTTATAGGCAACATTTGCGACGGGCGACTGCTGATTCAACCGTAACTTGAAACATTCTGATATAATAAATTAGCAAGAGTCCCATTAATTCAGTATTGCCAATAGATTTTTTTTGTTACAAACATTAACAGTGACCATTAAATTTAGTCGTTACCTATAGATATAGAAGCAGAAATTTTCTAAGTTGCGACATACTGTATATTTTTTCTAAAATGGTAAAAATAAACAATTTTTTGGCTCATTTTAAATAAATTTTTCAATATTTGATTGAGAACAAAAATGACCTAAAAACTAAAAAAAAATACAAATTGTAAAATGAAAAAAATCGGTTAATATATTTTTTACGCTGAACAGATCGAGAAGAAACTTTAAAAAAAACGTATAGCAAAAATTAATTTAAATTGTCATTTTCGGTAATGAAAATCTTTGCTTTTTTGAATAAAAAAAGATGAAATTTTTATTTTGTCGTGTTTTATTTACAACAAAATAATAGAAATGACCTGAAAACATTTTTGATGTCATGAAACAAATTATAAATTAAATGAATCTTTAAAAACATCACTTTAAAAAACAAAAAAGAAGCGATTAAAAATTTTGGAGCTGAAATGTTGAAGAAGAAACTGAAAAAAAAACACTTTTGATGTCAAGAAAAAATTTACAAATTAAATAAATCTATTTTAGAGAATGAAAACGCTTAAAACAATATTTGACCAGAATTGAAACTGAAAAAAGTGACTGGGAAACTGAAAAAAATACAAAAATAAAATTAAAAAAAAAAATAAAATAATTTTTGAGCTGAACTGATCGACAAGAAACTGCAAAAAAACGTACAACAAAAGTTTACAACAAAATAACAAAAATGACTTGAAAATTTTTGTGATGTCATGAAAAAAATTACAGATAAATGAATTTACTTTAAAAAATAAAAAAAGAAACGGTTAAAAAAATTTGAGCTGAAATTTTGGAGAAAAAACTGAAAAAAACACTCTTGATGTCATAAAAATTTACAAATGAAGTAAATTTATTTTAAAGAATGAAAAAAGGGCTTAAAATAATATTTGAGCTGAACTAATGGAGAAGAAACTGAAAAAAAGTGACTTAGCAACTGAAAAAAAAAATACGAATTGTAAAATGAAAAAAAAAAGATGTGAAAATAATTTTTGAACTGAACTAATCGAGAAGAAACTGCAAAAAAACGTATAGCAAAAATTAATTTAAATTCTCATTTTCGGTAATGAAAATATTTGCTTTTTTGAATAAAAAATATGAATTTTTTATTTTTCGTATATAAGAAAATAACAAAAATATCCTAAAAACTCTTTTCATGTCATGGAAAAAATTACAAATTAAATGAATCTACTAAAGAATTAAGAAAAAAAAACGCTTAAAATAATTTTTGAGCTAAATTGATCGAGATGAAACTGAAAAAAAAAATAAAATCAGTCTATTTTTTATAATGCAAATTTTCGTTTTTTTAATAAATATATGAATTTTTTGTCGTATTTTATTTAATTGTGGGCAGACAGGGGCAATGTTTGCATAAAGTAGGTCAAAGTTACGAGATATACTTTGTCAATAATTATACCTAATATTAATGTTACATCAAAAATGCTTCCGTAAGATTGAAATTTCGTATTTTTCAAAAAGACTTTATTTATTAGTTTCATTCTTTTTTATGTAGCTTTGTAAACATTTCTAGTATAGTTGTTGACAACGTATCTACTTTCTAACCTTGAGCTAATTTAGATAAGCAACAAACGGAAATGGCTTTAAAATCGCACTTGATCAGTTTTTTATTGATTTTGATTTATTTACTATCACTATTGAAAATTAAACTTAAAAAGGAATAAAAAAATGTTAAAAGGATCAACAATAATAAACTTAATTTGAAAGCTTCTCTCTTGACTGTCCATTGAAATCTCTCGGTATTTTAATGGAATCTTGATTTTTATTAGTATTTTAAGTAACTTTAATGATGAATTTGTATTATTACACTGAATTCAGAGTTGCCTAAATATCAATTTGTTGTATTTTATTTAATTAGAAAATTAATAAATAATATTGGTCTCAAGAAAAAAAAAAGATTAGGGTAAATTTCAATGTAATTATCACTACCAGTGATTTTAGTATAATTATTGACAACTTATATAACCTTGACCTAATTCACGCAAAACAAAATGACTTGTATGTCTTTTTGTCGCTTTTAAAAATTGAATAACTGCAATGGTGTCTCACTCCTTGGTCACGGCCCTGGCCATGCCCAACTTTCCACTGACTAACTCCCAAACAACAGAGGAATGGGTGAGCAAAAAGAAGACGGAAGTGATCAACACCAAGCAGATCGAGACTCGAGTCAAACGCCAAGTGGTCCTCGAAGATGGCGAAGTCGTCGAAGACTCCGGTCCGGTGGTCACCACCAACACCACTGAAGACACCAAGACTCAAGAGCATCACCAGACTGAAGTAAGTCCTCCACTTGTTTTAGATTTCAACTAAGAGCGAAATTTAGTTGCGTAAACTGGGCGACGACCAACCCGATGGTCCCCCCAACGCCCTGGAGACCTCCCCCGAGACGGTCGCCGTGCCCAATCCCGAGGGAGTCGTCCGGGAGGTTAAGGAGAAACGGGTCATTTCGCGCGAGGAGACCGAAGAGGTCAAAGAGACGGAAGATGTCCAACATTTCGGGGACATCACCGATGAGGTAAGAAATGTCGGGGGGTCGGCCACGATTGTGCCCTTCTTGCGCGCGGCGGGTTTAAGAGCGATGGCCCTCGAGTGGTCTCGGGGGGGCAGAGAGAAGACGGGGCCTCCACGACCAGTCAGACAACCGTTCACCGCCGAAGACTTGAAACCAAGCAACTAACAAAGACACCAAGTGCTAATCGAGTGATAAGTGTGTGGTATTTTGTGAAAGTACGTTTCTTTGTGACCGAAAGGGCCCAAAAACGGCCCTTGAACCCCCCAAATGCCCATTCGCGACGTTGCTATTTATATCTTTGACATTTAAAACGTCTTTGTTGGAATTATTGTTACTTTCTCGTCCACAATTATTTGAATTACGTCGTTTTATCTATTTGTTATCAACCTTCACGGGGCGTAATTTCGAAAGAGAACGCTTTTGAGAAATTTTTTGCTTGGAAAACGACAAAACTCGGTTTTATTAAACCATCGAAACGTGATCCGAGTCGACTGTGACGAAATCGCACACTTGTCCGTCAAGGACGGACAGAATCGGGCCTCGAGCACACCTTTGCGTCACTCTCTGGTTAAAATTGGACCGGTGGGAAAGCCCTGCGGGACGTTTCATGGGTTTTTTTTTTGCACGATTCCGCCAGGAAGCCGGTCCAAAAGCCATAGGGGAGAAAGTGCGCCAATATCGATATCCTACATATGTTTTCGGTTGCGTAATTGTCCTAAATTCAGTGAAATTTTAATGAGAGATGATCGGAGGGAGTTGAAGTAAGACATTTTTGCGAAGGTAGGTGGCTAATGACTGAAATTCCGACATTTACAGGGAAAAATATGTTGCGTTACGTAATGCAAAAAATTAGAAATACTGTTTTATTTATAATTTTGCAGGCGCCGACTATATGAAAATAATTTTAAGGTTAAATAATAATAATAATAACTCTTAATAATAATGCCAAAGATATCTTAAATTTTCTATTATCTATTTTTCCTTTCGATAAAATGGATCAAATTCATCGTTTTTTGCTTTTCCATTTTTCAAATTACCCCAAAATTAAATTTTTAATAAAAAACTACGTGAAAAAAAATAGTTTCTTAAACACATACTTCAAGACATTTTACATAACATTTTCCATAAACTTTTTATAAACTATTCCAAAAAATTAAGAAAACAAAAAATTGTGAGTGAATCTCAATGAAAAAAAAAGGCATTTTGTAGCTTTAAATTTCTGATTTTGAGATCTTTTGTCAGAAAATTTTCTGAGCCACGGTTCTAAGAAAAATAATTCTTTTGGTAAATTTTTATTAGCTAAATCAATGCATGGGCCGGATAGCTCATTCATTCAGCTGTAATTTGCTTTTATGTTTTCTTTACGTCAAATTGTCGCTGAGATATCGACTTTTACGATTTTTTGAAGAATTTTTTATTTCATTTTTAACATTAAAGAGAAAAAACTTAACTTTTTTGTTGTTTTAGTAAATCTAGCACGTTTTTACAAGTATTGATGGGGAGAGTAGTGTGTTTTGAAGAAAATTTAAAAATGAAACTGAAAAATGAGCAAAGTCTTCAAACATGAATTTGTTTAATTCGGAGTCCAAAGACCTAGAGATTCTGAATAAAAAACATTTTTCCAAAAGAGGAGAAGAGGAGAGACTTGACCAATTATAAAAAATATAAATTTACTCTTAAAGTATTGCCATAAAAAATCTAAAAAGATTTTCCTTACAATTCTGGGTTAATCAAATTTGAGAATCTAAAAAAATCTTAAAGTAAATGTAATTCACTAGATTGCAATGTAAAAATACCAAATGAATCGGAAACGAACCAAAGAAAAATTAAATCTAAAAAATATTAAATAAACGTAAATTAACTCTTACAATATTGAAACAAAAATTTTGAAAAATTTATGTAAAATTGAAAAAAACTGAAATAAATCACGACTCGCAAATTAAAAAAAATAAACAAACTGTAATAAATAGAGCTAAATTCAAAAATGGAATAAAGAAATTCGAAGAAATTCGGAAGAAAAAAAAAAAACAAAAAAATTAATAAAGTAATAAATATTTTTGTATTCTGAAAACAAGAAAAAATTTTGGAATCAGATAAAAATCTGTAAGCCCTGAAAAAAACCTGATTTTTTCAAAACCTACCTAAAGTCCACTTTTTATCAAAAAACTGTTAGCGGTACTGAATTTATTACAGTTTTTGCGTTTTTGTCTCCAAATTTGTGTCATGATATTTTTATTAAAAAATTTGGTAGCGGTAAAGCGAAAACTTGACCAAACAAGAGAAATTGAATTTTTAATTTGTATAAAATTGAAAAATTCAAATAAATTCCCTCTCTTAAACTAACAAAATGTGAATTAACTGAAAAATTCAGATGAATAAAAAATCTTTAAAATCCTGAATAAATCAAATTGGAAAATCTAAAATAAATCTTCAAGTAAAGTATTCAAAAAATCCACATTTGAGAACTGAAAAATTTAGTAATCTTGAGTAAACTAAAAATGTGAACCTAATAATTCTAAATTCAAAAATCTAAGGATCATGGACCAAATTAAGTTTGAAGATTTAGACAGATTTTGATGTCGGAAAATCGATAAAAACCGAAAGATTTGGGGAAATTAAAACAAATTTAAATTTACAAATCTAATTTTTTTTTTTAAATCGATCCATCAAACTGTCTTCTCGAACCAATTGACCAAAGTTTTACAAAAGAATTAAAAGAAATCAAGAAGCAATACTGAAAAATGTTTGAGACCATTCAGCTTTTGCATATCCTAATTTTACTTACCTCAATTTAATTGCATTAAAAAAATTTTTTTTTATTGTTTTCGAATTTTTGTTTTTTTCAATTTAACAGTAGTGTATTATTTTTCAAAACTCAACACTTGAAGCATTTTGCAACTTTAAACATGTACTATTTTCTTTACACTTTTTATTATTTATTATTTATTAGTTATTTTTGAAAATGTGAAAAGTCGAATTCATTTATTCGTTACGATTTCAAAGAAAAACTTGTTTTTTTCGCCGTTTTTGTGATTTTTTCAAAAACCGGTTGTTCCAAACGCAAAAAACGCGGTTTATTGGTACTTTCTGTTGCGTTTTCACCGCTGACCCAGAAAAACGCGTCCGGAAAATCTCGTTATGGATTGCAAGGTCATGTCCCGGCCAACCTTGCAAACGTCATTTCCTGATGTTTTTCCTGTCGACAGGACTTTTTATCTGCTGTAAAAACCGGAAAAAAGGACCTCCGCGACGTCCTCCGCAGCACGAAAAACGGCGTTTCGGTGGTGTCGACTGGTCCTCGAGTGGTCCACGAATCGTCAAAGAGCAACAAAGTGACCGATACGGAAGACACGCGTGAACTGAGTTCGGTTCTGCCCGACGGTAAAATCGTGACCGAGACGCAAAGAACCACCGAACACGAGGAGATCAAAGACGACGAATTGCCCGAAGACGCCCCAGAACAGGATTTTTACAAGGAGAGTTCGCAGAAATATCTGAAAACGCGAGAGCAGGAGGATGTGGACTACCTAGCAGACGGTGTCAAAATCGGGCACGAAATGCGCTTCCGGACCGAAACCATGGAGGTCGAACGGCATGGAGACGACGACGACGAGCCCGATTTCGACTCGCTGAGTGCCAGGGCGAGGCGGAGGGTTAACAACCGACAACCCCACAGATACAGGGGTAAGAACTAATTCCGTTTCTGAAAAACCGAAAGAAAACTAAAAAAATGAGCAAAGGTTTCAAACCTAGAATTGTTTAATTTGGAGTCCAGAAACCTATTTAGAGGAGAGTTACAAAAAATTGAAAAGCCAGGAATGAATAAAATTTATGAAACATGAAATTTCAGATGAAAATCTGAAAATTTAAAAATACCAAATGAATCCAAAACGGACAACTTGACCAATTATAAAAAATATTAAATAAACGTAAATTAACTCTTGAAATATTAATTGTAGTAAATTGAAAAAAATTAGATAAATTCCTCTCGTGAATTAACTGAAAAATGCAAATGAAAAAAATCTTTACAATTCTGACAACCAAATTTGAGAATCTAAAAAAAATCTTCAAGTAAATGTAACTCAATAAATTGCAATGTAAAAATTCAAATCAAATAAAAAATCCACATTTGAGAACTTGGAAAACTCCGGTAGTTTGAATCAAATTAATAGAACCTGAAATTTCTGATGAAAGAAAAATTAAATCTAAAAAATGTTAGGTAAATAAACGTAAACTCTCACAATATTGGAATAAAAAATCTGAGTGTAAAATTAAAAAAAACTGAAATAAACCACGACTCCCAAATTTAAAAAAATAAATAAAACGTAATAAACAGACCTAATTTCAAAAATGTAAGAAAGAAATCCAAAGAAATTCAGAAGAAAAAAAATTAAAAAACTGTTTTTGCATTTTGATAAAAAACAAATTTTGGAATCAGAAAAAAATCTATAAGCACTCAAAAAAAACATTTTTTTCAAAAACTACCTAAAGTCTACTTTTTATCAAAAAACTGTTGGCGGTACCGAATTTATTACCATTTTTGTGATTTCGTCTTCAAATTTTTATAAAAATTGAGGTAGTGGTAAACCGAAAAAAAACTTGACTAAACAAGTAAAATTAAATTCTTATTTTGTGTAAAATTGAGAAACTTCCAATAAATTCCTTTTCGTAAACTAATAAAATGTGAATTAACTGAAAAATTAAATGGAAAATCTTCAAGTAAATTTAACTGAAAAATTGCAACATGAAAATTAAAATCATAAAATATCCATATTTGAGAATTAAAAAATTCTGGTAATTTTGAATAAACTAAAAATCTGCACCTAATAATTATAAATAAATCCGAGTTCAAAAAAATCTAAGGACCATGAACCAAATTAAATTTGAAGATTTAAACGGATTTTCAAGTCGGAAACTCTATAAAAACCTAGTTTTGAGAAAATTTGAACAGATTTAAATTTGCATATCTGAAAAATAAATACGTAACCCTAATTTTAAAATCCGATTAACTTCAGAAGAAAAAAAATAGAAAATACTAAAAAATAAAATGTTTTTGCATTTTGAAAAAAAGAAAAATTTTGAAATCAGATAAAAACTTGTAAACCCTAAAAAAAACTGATTTGTTTAAAAATCACCTAAAGTCTAGTTATTTTTAAAAAACTGTTAGCGATAATGTCTAATGATTTTTATTAAAATGAACAGAAAACGTGGCCTAACAATAAAAAGTAATTCTAGAAAAATAATAAATAAACGTAATTTTTTAATTCTTAAATAATTGAAATAAAAAATTTGAAAAAATTGTGTAAAACTGAAAAAATTTCAAACAAAAAAGTGTAAATTGACTAAAATTTACTAAACATGAATAAAAATCTCTTTAAAATCCTGAATTGGACAATCTAAAAAAACCTTTGGATAAATTTAACTGAACAATTGCAACGTAAAAATTCAAAGGATATAAAAAATCCACATGGAGAACTAAAAAATTCCGGTAATTTTGAATTATACTAAAAATCAGAACCTAATAATTCTAAATAAATCCAAATTCAAAAATCTAAGGACCAGGTACCAAATTAAATTTGAATATTTAACAGATTTTCAAGTCAATAAAAGCCTTAAGTTTTTAGGAAATTAGAACAAATTTAAATTTGCAAATAATATAAAAAATAATTAACCTTTATTTCAAAACCATATTAAACTCAGAAGCAAAAAATAAAATGTTAAATAATAAACTTAATGTACA